AGTACAGGACTGAAGGAAAATTGTTAGAAGATAAAATCCTGATAATAAGCAACACGAGAAGAGTACTGAAAAAAGCAAGTAAACCTGATGAAAATTCGATTTTATGAGGGTTTTCTGACCATTGACACCAATTTAGTTGACATTGACCGCAACTCTTATTGTACACATACTTTCTTCGCAAATTGGAAGCTCCGATATTAGCTGGCATTGCCTTGCCTGAATTCAATATCATGAAGTTAGAGTGCTTCTTCTTTGCATAATGAGTTGAATGGAGAATCTTTGTCAAACATGCAACTATGTTGACACTTCCTCCGACGATGACATACTAATGTTAAAAAACACTAGGAAATGTATTATGAATTGAACATTCTTCTTGTATTTTATAACTCTGAACAAGTTACTTTCTGTGAGCAGCTATTTTGTTTCTTCAGGAATTCAAATAAGATAACTTCACCACTTAACATAAAGTGGCGGTCCCAACATCCTGCCTCCGCCTCCATTAAGAAAATGCTTATCAAATAGTCACTTCCTTCCCAACTTTCTTCTTAAAAATGCAAATATTTGGGAGGTTGAGAATTTTTTTTAGAAATCCCTGGGGATATTTTTCTACAGCGTTGAGTAGCGCCTGCAAAAAGCGCAAATTGAGCCGCGATATGCAAATATTTCACCGTGAATGAAAGTTTACTGTGCACCATCATCTCATCGGATTGACTTGAAAAAGAGAACATAAATTGTTGACTAATTTGTTCCTCAAGGATATTCCTCGAATGGGTCACTAATCCTTGTGTTTCTTTTTAATATTCTGAAAGTACCAAGTGAGTAGATTACGAGGGTGATTTATTCTTTGGAGCTAAAATCCTGGATAAGCTCGTTCTTAAAAAGTCAACAGACTCGAGGAAATTCTAAACGCACCAGAATAAAGGCAACTTTTATCGCTCTGAATGAGTCTACAGAAACGCCAAATAATAACTAACCCCCTAATTTGCTCAAGTCGTAATCGCGTTTTCAAAAATATAAAGACTAGGCGCTAGGAGAAAAAAATTAAGCCACTCCTCCTATTGGCTAGAGAATTGGCGGCAAAATCGGGACAAGTTTGGAATTCAAATAAAGGGAGAGAACAGAATAAAATTGCGTAGCCAAATTATTCTGGATTGCTGCCTGCTCAAAATCACTTACTCACATTTTTTTTTAAAACTTTAGATTATTTTTGAAAGCTGATTGTCCGTCATCGACCAATTAATCTCATTTCGGGGGTAACGATCATCTTGGATTGTAATGGACTGGTTGAACCGGTACTGCCCCCATAAGGAACAGAAAAATAACTTAATCAGAGATTCCTGCTTGGTTCCGAGTCAAAGTAGGTGTATTTTAAAAAGTCACCGTCCCAACTCTGTTGATTTGTTCGTTTTAGGCATTTAAAACGATTTTAAAACAAGAAATATGCACAAATCAAGAGGACAAGCTCAAATAAAATGTTCGTTTGCCGCGAAGGATTCCCGCACTCGTATTTAAACTCACACAAGCACAGCGCCAGGGCGGTTTCACTTCTTTTCCATACTACTAGATACGAGTGCCCCGCCTTTGTGCCTTTGCGCATTTTTCAGCGCCTATAGACCGGAATAATTTAATTGCAGTTTACGATGAGAACTACGACTTCCGGTTCATTTTAAAAACACATATATAGAATTATGTTCCTATACAGATGGGTGCTTTATGAATGAGTCGGATATATTGGTGGTATCTAATTGCAAAATGTAGCCGAATTGCCCAGAACAGTACCTTGAGTTTACACTAAACTTTTCAATACTTGCGACGCATATTAAGTATTCATGAAAAAATTCAAGTTAATGGAATTATAAACAGCATCTTAAAATTTTGTCCATACTGGCAAAAAAACATTGGATCTAGAGTCCAGACTCTTAAAAACATCGACAAGAAAAAATACTCTTGATACAATCGGATTTTTGCTGAAATCAAGAACCAAGTCTCTTAATTTGAGCGGATTTCCTTTTGATTTAAGCAAGAATCTGATTGAATCAAGAGTATTTTTTCTTGTCAATGTTTTCAAGAGTCTGGGCTCTAAATCCAATGTGTTTTTTTTCAGTGCATGGTCTTTCCTTAATACAGCAAAGCTTGCTGAACAAATTCAGCGATATGAGGTCTCAAAACTCCCATGCAACATTTAAATCCGCCTTTGAATACGATGGATTATTCCCTTGAACTTTTCAGACACGTTTTTGACCCAAGTATCAAGGGTGTAGATGGACTTCTGTAAAATTAATTTTTCTAATTGAAGTCATCTACAGAGAAAAAAAGCCCCTCAACATACTGCCAATTTATCGGGAACTTGGGGTGTAGATTGGAGTATGCTCAAGATGAATCCTCCTCGTGAATCTTCAAATTCAATCTATTACAATAAGAGGCTTCTGTCTTCATAAGATTCCATTTTTAGCCACATGCTGAAAAAGCCCCGGGATCATTTTCGTGAGGCGTTTTCCGTTTGGATCAACAAGAACGAGTGGTGAATAATTCCCACAGTGTAATGGGGATGTTGCACGTGTGAGGAATTTGCGATTTGACTGTTGATTCTTATGTACAAGTTCGCGAGAAACACGATGGTGTCGATGGTGCCACTGGTTTTCTCTGAAATCAACTCCCACACTCAAAAAACAAGTATGGGAAGAGTGACTTACTGGCCGAGTTATGGATCATGGAGCCAAAATATAGTCCGTGGAGCCATGCTTATAGGTTCACGACCAATGAGGTATGGCTCAGAAAGCCATACTGTCGACGGTCAGTCACTTTGGTTAGAAATTATAGATCTCCGAGCCATTTTCTATGGGTCTCAGAGTCATACCTTTTTTTGAGTGCAAGCTTTAAAAAAGCTCTCAAGTTGAGGCCACAACGGAGGGGATATCTCACGCTATCTAGAGAGTCCACCTCTACATCAAGACCAACTCTCCATGCAAAGATAGGGAGCAAATACACTAGCAGTGATGCGGTGTTTTCAATTTTAGAGTCCCCAAATAAAGTGGCAGCCCTGTCAATGTATTTGCTCCCTATCTTTGCATGGAGAGTTTGTCTTGATGTAGAGGTGGACTCTCAGGATAGCGTGGTATATCCCCTCCATTTTGGCCTCAACTTGAGAGCTTTTTTTAAGCTTGGAAGTTGATTTTAGAGAAAACCAGTGGCACCATCGCGATTCTCGCGAACTTTTACAAAAGAATCAATAGTCAAATCGCAAATAAGAAAGATACGTTATTGATCTGAATGGAAATGTGTCTCCGAGCCGAAGCTAGGTCTAGAATCTGGAATGAAATGCAACTTAAAAGTTTCAATCACAGAACTTGACTCCCAAATCGAAGACCAACAACGAGGAACATACATATTAGTCTCTGAGAGCATTCGTTTCTTTGTAGGATTGATTTTACTGTCTTCGCCAGAAACAGCCCAACTACTTTCGAACGCGAAGCACGCCACGCCGCCACTGATCACTAAGAGCCATTCTTAACGGCATGATGCATTATTCGCCTTCAATTGAGCGTATAGGCAAGACCAGCTCCTACGAGTCAAAATAGTCGCATCCTTCGGATGAATCACGTGATTACGGAAGATCTACGGAGAACAGGCCTCTCAGCTGCTCACGAACGTTTGCCTAACGAGCTGATTTTGAATGAAACGGTTTTTAATTTGAATAATCTTAACATTCTGATGAATGTTTTTGGTTTTAGAAATGGACTGGAGGATTTGCGAACGAAATCACATCTTTTTACCACAACTCAAGCATCCTAGCTTTCAAGACCCACCCTTGAATATGTTGTTATGATTGGATAACATTTTGCAATTAGTAACTATTATATTTTTGGCTTTTTTAGATACATCACACGTGCCATTAATTTTCCGATGCAGATTGATGACTCTATTCGTGAGCCCAAAATTGTAGTTCCTTACTGAAAAATGTGATCTATTCTATCAAGATATTTTGGGCACTACAAGCTCTGAGGAGAGGCGAACTCCAATATTTAATGGTTTTTGCTTTTCATGAACATATGTATTCATCACACTTCATGATTTTTTCTGTCTCTCCTCTCTCTCTTATGTGTGATTTATTACTCTGCTTAATAGTAAATGCAGTTTATAGCTGTGTACGTTCACATGGTTGTAAGATTTTGAAGGTGAAACCACAAGACAAAAAATCACGTTTGTGACATATTGCAGACTTCCAGTCATTCTTCATTTTTTACAAGGAAAACTGCACAATGTTTTTACGAAAACTTCGATGCTTTTTTTCTCTGTGCGAAGACAATTCTGTGAAAACTTTTAGAGATGATTTGATGTGTTCTCTTTCAAAAAGATCACATGAGAGCGGAGATTTTAACACCGCAAACGAAATACGTGGTTTGAGAGTTTCACCTCCAAATTGTTATCTCAGAGCTTCAATGCTTTCTTATTTCCTAACTCTTTGGGGACTGTGATGGAAACAGTCAATGTTAGGCCTTGCTTTGCGACAATTTAAACTGACCAAACGTACTGATGTCAAAAAGAACCATGTACAAATTGATTAAATCAAAAAGAACTACATACATAATCGTGTGCTTCATAGCTCCTTCCGATCCAATAAATTCATGCATGGCTCCTTTTAGAAAAGTATGTCCAACCATAGGCTGTTTGTTTATTCGGTTAAATCCAGTAATAAATACAACAAGCTACACCTCTTGCGTAAAGTTAAGGGAAAATTAAGCATTTAACTGACAGTTGAGTGACCGCAGTTTGTGCAAAACACAATCATAGCTCTGAGAGTGTTCTGTATTTCACTTTTCTTCCGAATTTGTTACTTTTTCCTGTAGTGGATTTTTCTAGAGCTTTGAGACCTAAATTGAAACCAGTTAATGTTTACAGAGTATCAGCAAACTTAGAGCAATGCATAAAAACGTTGAAAAAGTCGAATAAAAGGAAACAGAGAACAACCATCTCCATTGAAAACTTATGAGGGAACTTACATGTTATTTATGTTGCAGCAATTGGAGTGAAGAGGTTATGAACCACAACAAACAGGTATTTTCCACTTCTTAAACTTGGTCAAAGCGAACGATTCTCAAAAACTACGAAGGGGAAGCGAAGAACCGAAAGTTAGTGAACTATCTACAAAAGGAGGAAGTACTAAAATTTGTAAAAAAAAACTAGGAGCTACTGGAAGGCGAACGACTTGGCGTGTTATCAGGAGACACAACCTCGGCGGTACGTGCGTTTGGAGTGGATTCCACGACACTTCCGCGAACTTTAAGGCTTTGTTAGGTTAAAATCACGAGTGAAAAAAGGGTTAAGTCGAGGGCGGTTGGGGTTATGCGTCGACCTTTGCTCGGGCTCGAATCGGGTGACCTTTATTTTGATTTGTGGCGCACGGGTTTGCACGGACGGGTCGAGGAGGCTGGGGCTGGATTTTTGCGGTGCGGGCTTGATCGATACGTAAATATTCCTCCTGTTCGGGTCCCGTCAACGCACTGGGCACAGAGGGAGGCGAGCTGCGAGAGTGCGCCTAGTCGAGCGGGTCCACAAAAACTGAGGGTTTTCCACTTTTCCGGACGCGGGCGCGGAGGGGCGCGAGAGGGGTGGGGAAAACGGGTGGTTGGCATCGCATGCAAACTCCGGGCGCCATCTTTGTGACGTCACAGCGCTGCACCACTCGCCGCTCGGCACTTACCGCCGCGCGCTCGAACTCGCCTCGGCTCCCGATCCCGAGCGATCCCGAACCCTCTCCCCCCCCCCCCCCCCCCCCCCCC